CCCACGTCAATTATTTTGCAAATAACTGAAAAATCACTTTGTTTATCACAAGAGTTCACATGGCACAAACACAAAGAAGCTGGGAAAGGCCAGGTCTATGTATTGGCTGAGGCTTAGAGGAGAATTAGCCCTCACAGATAAAAGGCCGTATAGTCAATTGATAAAAGAAACAACATCCAATAATTTTGTGATGAAATCGCACCAACTGAAGATTGACCACTGGGCTATTCGCCAAGCCAATGAACGAAGACAGTACCTGCTTTTAAAATTAATTTCATCCGTTCTTATTTTTTCTCCCCTTTTATTCAGGGCGTTCATATTTCCTTAAATAATTATTTTGATTTACACTTTTGTTTTCTCTCTGACTTTAAAAGCCTGAAATGCGCCTTCTGTTATAGATGCCAGGCAAAGTAATTATCTTTGTATTAGATTTAAGTGTTACAGCAAGCCCAGTTGGGAAAGAAGCAAGACTGACAACAGTGCCGTTATTAAATTACACGCCTGCTCCCTGCAGAATGACTGGAAGACCCACACAATTTCAGAGTTAAAGTCTGCCCCTTTGTGAGATTGCTCATTACATACAGACATCATTAGTCTTGAATATATATGCATGCACGTACATAAATAATCAGAGTTTTGTCCTTAGCTCTGTTTTGCCATTCTGACAGGGAAATACCTTCAGGTAAGTAGTGCATGATCCACCCAAAAACGCATGAGCAAACCAGTAGAGTTTTGACCACCCTCCTTAGGTGTCTCAGCATAAGAATCTCTCCACAGGGTCACAGCAGGGGCTGTGCATCCCCCGTGCACATCATCTATCAAAAATCTAGGAAAAAACATAGACATTGTGGTAAAATATCTCCCTGCTGCCCAGCGATATGTGGGTTACTGACTTTCCATGCCAGAAGTTGGATCTACCTGGTGGAGCTTCCTTGCCTAAATTTGCACAGTCCTTTTCTGAATACTTTACACTTTTGGCCACCACATCATCATGTTGTAAATTCTGCAGTTTTATTATGTGCTTTGTGGGGAAAAAAAAGTGCTTGCTTCTGTATACCTATATTTTATACACATATGCTGCTTCATATAGGATTCTGGTATAACTGCAGAGAACAAAATACAGGAGGTGAAATCACAGGTAAGCAAGCTATCAAAGCCAGTGACATTCACGAGCTTTCCCATTCTCTACAGCACTTAACTATTATCAATATCTAAACTATTAAAATATCTAAAAATATCTAAATCTCTGTGAATAGTTCAATAATGAAATAATCTAAGGAAAATATGCTCACCATAACAGATGTCTCTTACCAGATTCAACTCTGCACGTCACAGTGCCACGATGCTAAATGCCCTTGTTGTACAAAGGGGATGCAAGAGGCAGGTACCAACCAAATTACAGTAGAAAGGCATAAGAATAAAAGGGGCGAAACATCAGGAAAGAGACAGGAATGTCATTCATGTCAACAAGTAAATGAAACATATGGAAACTGCACTTAAGGCATAAAGGGGATGGAAGAGGAGGTGATATGACCAGATGGCTAAGGAGCAAGGAGAGAGCAATTCCAGAAACTGTATGGGAAATAGAGGACAGAAAAAGAGAATGAAGATTATGAACTTCATACTGAACAGGGCAAAACCAAAGGGAATTTAACATAAAGACTACAGCAGTAGTTACAAAAAAAACCAACTCAGCAGAGGTTAGAATTGAGCCAGGAATGTGCCTTTGCCACCTGGGGAGAGATTTCAGTTCTGTGCTGCCAGCATTAGCACTTTTTAGATACTCCACTATTCGGGAAGATCTCACACAGCCATGGCAGCAGGGTTGAGGAGAGCAGAAGGCAGAGACCGGCCAGAGCAGAGGACAGCTTTGGGGACAAGTGCCATGTTTGAGACCTTCAGAGCTGGGGTCGGGGCCTGGCTTCCTCAGACACAAAATACTGTATTACTTTTTTCCGTGCCTTCATCTCCTGGTAATAAAATTAAGATAAAAATATTTCTATCCTTTGTCTCATTTATGAGGACAGATGACTCTTAATGACCGACACGATACTTGTGTGGTTGTAGCTGGCAATGCGGTCCTGATGTAGCTACAGACACAGCTGCAGGTCCCAATAAAGCAAATATTAGGGTGCCTGGTATTGGAACAGATATCTTAAACATTAGAATATATGCATTTCTTGATAAATAACACCCAAATTACTCATTTATGTGCCATATTTACTCATTGTTTTGGATTTATTCACCTTCTTGTCAGCCAGTTTCAGAAAAATAACCTTTAACAACACCACACAAGGGCTTCACAAGGTAAGAAGGAAATGCTAATTGGTTTTATCCTTTTGTGAAACAATCCACCCAAAGTTAATTAGAATAGGTTTGCTTTTGCTTCACAAAAATAATCCATAAAAAGACTGATAGGCAGAGCAAACTGCATCTCGCACAAAGGTCGTAGGATTTAAGTGATTTTGAGCTACGCTCCCAGAAGTCGGTTGCCTTCAGGCATCTATCTGGCCTTTCTCTGTGGATGGCATAATTAGGAGTGGAGTGAAAACCCCAGTGGTGAAGCCTGATAAGAAGTTAATCTTTTGAGCACCATGTGAGCCAAGAGAGATGTGCCAAAAAGCCCAATTAGCAAAGGCTTCCCATCCTAGGTTGTGCCATAGCATTGCTCAGCGCTGATAAGCAGCTGCAGCATCCGCTTCCGAGGTGCGTCACTTGAGCAGCGCGTAAGTTCCACAGTTACAAGGGCGAGGAGCACCGTGCAGGCAAAGGGCACCACTGGGCAAATGGCAGAAAAGCAGCTCTGCGATCCAAGCTCGTAACATTTCTCCACACGACCTTCACGCTCACAGTGGGACGTGGAAATCCTACAGACTCACACACACCTCCAGTAATGGGACTTGGGTTCAGCGCTTTCAGCCACACCGGGTATAGATATAAGCCAAGGCTTTTATTACTGCATTTGGGAGCACCACACAGGGTACTTGTCAATAGGATCTGATCGTGGGCTTCTTGAACCCACTGACTGAGGCCAAGCAAGCAGAATATGTGCCAAATCCCAATTTTAGACTGAGGCAGCCCAGGACCTTCTGGCAGTACAAAACCCAAAAGCATTACAGCAAGCTCAACCCCCTATACAGCCATGTATAAGAAAAGTGAGAAAAGGATTATGTTTGCTGTCCCATCATCACTAAAGAAGAGATGAGAAAGTTCTTGGCTGTTGGAAAAGCACTGCAGATCTGGAAAAGAGAGTGCTCAGCAGCTCTTCTGTGCATGCCAGAGACCCTTTCTTTTACAGGAGGAAAAGTCCTTAACAGACAAAGGAATCCATGGGCTCATCATCCATGAGCCCAAATGTCCCTCTCCATAGGGATATATAAGAGCAAATCCCAGTTTCAAGAGGGATACAGAACATGGAAACTGCTCCTGAGGAATTTGACTGGTGTCTCCAGAGCAAACAACTGTGGTATGACTACAATGGAAGGAGTTAATAGACATTGAAATTGTTTTATTAAGTAGGTTTGCCAGAATTTACTCCTTATTAAACCTCATTAGTCAGGGACTGTCCTTGTACTCCATGTTCTTACCCAGTTGCTGCCTGCTGCCTGCTGAATAGACAGAGTGATGCTGGAGAGATTATTGCTAAGCCCTTCCCCCTTCTCTCTCCCCTCCTCTTGCAGGACCATACTGACAGTCCCAAGGGAAACAGAGGAGAGACAGGGAGAGGACAGGATCCACCAGCTCACACTCAGCACATTTCACCAGGAAGCCCCAGGAGTCCACAAGAGGAGCTGCCACTTAAAGCACCGTCTCCTTCACAAAGGATCTGTCAGTACAACATATATTACATGAACACATATGAATGTTTTTCCCCTTCCAGAAAAGGAGAGAGGAAAGAGACTGCGATCACCACAGTGCTATAGTGATTTTTTGCATGTAATCAATACTGTAAAATATCCCCAGGTCTTTCTGCTGGATGGTAACTCGGAGGACAGCTCATCTGTTCGCAGCATGTGCACTTCACCTGCAGGGAAGCCAGGCAGCGGGCAGCAGCCCGTGGCGTGGTGGTAAGTAACTTCAGGGAAGTTTCCTCGCCTTTTCTGCAGTTCGCTGACTTGCGGTAATAAATGCCTTTGAATCTTTAGAGATTTTGAACAAAAACCCGGGGTTTGTTCCTGGAAGGGGGAAGTGAAGGAGGGGGGATCGTCTTTCAATTGCTTCCCCTTCTGCCTCAAGCTGATAAAATACTTGGCTTTCTGACTGTCTAACAAAGTTTTCTCCAGGGTGGGCAAATGGTCCCTGTATCTTCTCGGTAATTTGCAGTGACAGGAGACCGGGTTGATAAGAATAATCATCATTTATACAGCACTTTACCTCTTAAGGCATTTTACAGACATCCACTAGCTAATCCTTGCAATACCCCCGAGAGGCAGGCGAAACAGGCGCGCAGTGAAAGGAAGAGGAATTGCAATCTGAGCATTCAAGTTAAAGCAATTAGGAACTTTGCATCCAGCTGATGGCAGGTAATTGACCACTCTAACTCTAATAACTGTTAAGCAGCTTAGTTGAGTTAGGGTGTTTAAGGGTTTCTAGGAAAAAGAAAGCAAAGCGACAAGCACCAGGAAATAAACGATCTAACGATGACCGAGATCTGCTCGGAGGGGAGAGTGATCTGTTCACATTTGGATTTGCAGGCATCCGACCCTTTGGATAATTATGAATGAGGCTTTAGCTCTCCTCCGTGTCTGTGTGTTGCCAGACAACCAATGAGGCTGCAAAGCAAATCGCTCTCCCAGGCTGCAGATTTCAGGCAGAAGCAGAGAGGTGACTTCTACTTCCTAAACAGGCACTCAGTAATTTTGTGATTTAGGAAAGCAGCTTGAAACACCTTTTCTCTTGCAATAACCTCTACTATGTTTTCTCCTCCTCCCTGTATCTTTTGGCTGACAGATAACCCCGCTCTGATGCCATTTCGGATGTCCGAGTGAGAACTCTTAGAGATGCCTATTCTCTCCGGAGGCAGCGACCAAGACTATAGTAACATTAGCTACACTTCTTGTAATTCCTTGAGCCACTTCTTTCCTGTCTCTGTTGAAACTCCTTCTGTCAAAGGGGTCCATTACCAAAGAGCCAGGAGGATTTACCATCCTGATCAAGTCTCTGCAGTTGATCTAAAGACAGAGATCATGATCAATGTTGGAGGCATCAAGTACCTGCTACCTTGGAGTACTTTAGACGAATTTCCCCTGACCAGACTGAGCAAACTTAAGTTTTGCAGCAGCTATGAAGAAATAATTCAGCTGTGTGACGATTATGATGAAGACACCCATGAGTTCTTCTTTGACAGGAACCCCAATGCTTTTGGGATGATTGTCAGCTTTCTAGCAGCCGGGAAGCTGATGCTCTTAAGAGACATGTGTGCCTTGTCTTTTCAGGAGGAGCTGAGGTACTGGGGGATTGAGGAGTCCAACCTGGAGAACTGCTGCTTTCGAAAACTATTTCAAAAACTACAAGAGTTGGCCGAGGTACGCAAAGAAGAGGAGCTCCGGAGGAGAAAAGAAGCTACGCGTGTCTTGGATGAGAAAACTAAATTTGGACAGTTTATGAACAGACTCCGAGATATGGTAGAAAATCCCCAGTCAGGACTCCCAGGCAAAGTCTTTGCTTGTCTCTCCATTCTCTTTGTGGCCACCACAGCTATAAGCCTTTGTGTCAGCACGATGCCAGACTTGAGAGCTGAAGAAGACAGGGTAAGTCAGTCCTTCTTAACTAGTTTAACTACAGAGTTAAAAGGAAATTGTCTGTCTTGCTAGGCATAAATCATTAGAAGGATAAAAAGGATACAGAAAACCCATAGCGATGAGGTTTGAAGCTGTCACTGGTAATGAAATGGTCTATAACTGAAAATGGAAGAACGGCTTAAACTACTTCTATCACTTTCAAAGGGATGTTCAGTTGAGAATAACGTGACAAAAGAGTTTACTAATTGTCAACTAAAATACAGGAAAGAGCTTCTGGGCAGAAAAGACACTGCAGCTCGCTAATGCTGCATTATTTTTCTTTCTTAAGCAGCAGTTGCTGGTGTAAGTTTTATTAACTTGTTAGCACAGGGACTCTCAAAGTCACATTGTGGAGTTTTCTCTTCAACGTGCTTTAGTTTCTACTTAGAAGCAACCTCTCGTTTGGACACATCAGCTAAAGAAATATTTTCCTCTGACATCTTTACTTTAAAAATAGCCAGAAATTACATTCCCTTCTGATAAATAAGTCAAATCTTCAAAGAGGAAGAAATAGTAATTCATTTTTTCCCCCCAGAATAAAGCCACATTTCAATAGTTGCATAAAGATCAGAGGATGAGAGACACATGAAGTATTTTTGCAGATATTGATACTTAAAGCTGCACCTCCAAAAACTGCAACTCCGTGCTGGCAGATTTCTGTATTTGCCCACATACATATGTACATGTTACAGGAGTGATGCCAGATACTGGCTGAACTGCTAACTGCATTCAAACCCTTGTCAAGTAAGCTATCCATATTTACCGAGGGCAAATAAATCAAGTCTGTATCATACATGAAGGATCTTCTTTATAACATTGCTGTGAATATTTCAGCAATTTAAAGATTTGTTGTGCTGGTAATAAACCAGAGGAATGTACCAATCCAAAGTGACTTCAGATGTAGTAACGTCCAAATTCATAAAATAACCTTGACTAATCTCTTTAATGAATCTCGCACTTCATTTGCAAACTGCCCTTCCAGGAGTGTTGAAGAAATTCAGGTTAAATAAACTCCTTGTCTCAACCACTGCTATAAGATAAGACACTCCTCTGAGTATTGTATATTGATGAATAAACCCACTTTTAAATTTATAGCACAGCATTGCATGCACGGTACAAAAATCTGTATAAATTTTATTGCTCAAAGCAGCAGTTCAAAGTAGAACAGTCATGGTGAAGATATGTGATGATATTTTATGTCTGAATAAAACTAAGGACTTCACAGAAGGCTGAAATTTAAGATCACCCCCTGCTCCGTTTAACCCCTCGAATATTAACTGACATTTGCACAGGAAGCCTATTACCTTTCAGTGAAAAGTCTGGTGCTTTTGCAGTCTCCCACAGACATCACTTTTGGCAGGAAAAACTTTAACACATCCAATGCTTCTTCCAAGGAAGTGCTTTAAATATAGAACATCCTTCTTACAGCTACATGTAAAAACGTTGCAAACTCTGCTCTAGCAAGCGCTTCCTACTAACTCTGGTAATGCAAGTAGCCCGATTCATGTTATCCTAATTTCCCGACCACTGCAGAAAAAGCTTTTATAAATACTTTTCGTGCAAAAGAACAAGCACATAATGTTTCAGGGCTCAGCTAGATGCGATGTGCTGTGTGTTTTAGAAATTATTAACTGTATGTTAGGAAGGGAAGCATGTTGAGGGTTCTAAGTGTATCTGGTAGCTGCAGTGTAGCTGCTGCCCCTGGGTTTCCTATTAAACACAGATGACATTTACTACATAAAGATCTGCATATATATATATATATTTAAATCACTACTTCAAAAACAAGCAAACTGGATTGAGATAAGCTTGAAAACAGGACTGTTTAAAGTGAAGGTGATGAAGGATGAGCTTGAGCAAAGGACCACATTTGTCCAAATATTTAGAAACATTACAAAATTTACACTTAACAGCACCAGCCTAATGCACTTTGTCATTGTATCCCAGAAGCACAGAGTATTGAAAGTCCTGTTATTTGAATCATTTAAAATTATGCCAGAGAAAACACTGGGGAATAGATGAGACACAATACTCATGCCTTGTGGAAAAGTAGAGACTATGAACTAGTAAACAGCAGCATTTCCTTCCCCAGCGATGGAAAAATTCCCCAAATTCTTGCCAGTGACACCTAATATTTCCTTACTGGGATATCAAAAGAGCATTTTAGCTAAAACTTGACAAATAAGACCGAGAACTTAATTGACTAAAAATACTACTTCTTGGTTGTGGCTGAGTCATACCCAGGCAAATTGTAACTCTGCGCTGATTTGTAACTCAAAATTGTCCCCTGGCTGACCTCCGAAAGTGACCCCAAGATGTGGCTGCATTTACCAGCAACCTGGGACAGGCATGCAGAATGTGAACTTTGGGCTCTTTGGGCTGAACATAAAGATTGCACAATATCTGTTTGCTCAGTGACAAAAACCAGTCAAATCCCTTCAGTAAACTTTCTGAACAACCTGGAATTCCACACCTGAATTCAAAGATGCCCTATCCTGAGGTTTATTCATTTCCCAGTTAAAGCCTGGCAAAACCTCTATGCGTAAAGGTGCTTACAAGTACTGCAAGGGTCTGTTTTCCAATGTCATTAACCCTGGAAATTGAATTTACCCACTCAAATACAAATAAAAAAGGCTTTACCTCTGCTGCATATGTACCACCCTAGGGTCCTTTTTCTCATCATCACAGGCACATTAAGAGAGTGAGAACTGGCTGGACTCCAGCTCAAGGAGAAGGATCATAGTCAAAAAAAAAAAAAAGGAAAATAATAAAAGGTGACTTCCACTTCGCTCAGAGGCTTTGCTGCTCCCGCCCTGCAGGCACATGAAATCACAGTTGCTAAAAAACAGAGCTGCTGAGAAGGGAGAAGAGCTGCCTGGGCAGGCAGAAGAGCAAACGGGAGCCCTCAGCATCTGAGGGAAAGTGAAAACTCCAATCTCCGGGAGAGGGATGGCCAGGAGCCAGGGCAAGAGCATCCGCATCAGGGAAACCCAGTCACCCTGGCAACCCAAGGGGAGGGAAGGAGCCATCTCCATGGGCAGCAGCAGAGGAAGGGAGGGTTCGCTTCAAGATGGGAAGAAAATAAAGAACAAGTTATTATAGCTGATACCATGCCCACACCCTAGAATATGTCAAATAACATTTAGGAATCTTCTCATTAGAGATAAAAAAGAAAAACACAGATAGATAGACATAATAGATAAACAGTTCTGAAACTATATATTACACGAGCATCTGCCATGAATCCCATCCCACAGGGAACAAACCCAGGAGAAGGATCCTAAAAGTTCAGGAAAACTCTAGAGCAGTAACATGTAGCTCTGGTGGGCTCAAGTTTAGGTCCAACCACAAAACAGGTATACAAAAGGATTTATCATACACGATGCTAAAGGCTCATTGGTAACAAATTATGTTATTTGGGCATAAAGCAACTGAAATGTCACATTCTCCCATGGCAACACATCCTTATCTAGGATATTTGCATTTGTTCTTTATGGACACCAAACTGCCTTCAGTGAGGAAGCAAATGCACTATCACTAAACACAGTAATCAAGGCACATGTGTATATAAAGGTAGAAAAAAAGGACATATTTGGAGATGAGGATGTGTTTATTTTTGATCCAACTGGGTAGCCTGAGAGAACTACAAATCTGACTCAGAGACCATTTATATAGGATAAGAAAGCTGAAGTGGCAAGATCTACCAGTATTTCCCTCGAATGAAGGAATTAAGATCATTCAACTAGAGACAAGGCAAAAGTCCCATCAAAGTCCCCATCCCACACAAGAGTTACAATCGGGATTCAAGAGGGGTAACTGAAACAGTCACTGCTCAGCACATCTAACCCAAAGTAAAAAGCATAATTATAACCAGACAACTAGGGAATAAAACCACCACAGAAGAGCTTGGACAGGGAAACTGCTTTGAAGCACTCTTGGGATTTTCTTTAGGAAGAGCTATTTCTTTTAATGAGTCCCTAAAATTGGCATCCTCTAGAGAAATGACTCAGCAGAAAGGATAAAGCAAGATCTTTTCTTCAGGAAGGAAAGCAAATTAAGGTCAAGGAGGGGAAAGAAGAAAAAGAAACCCCAGGCATTTCCATTCCCTGTCCCCCAGCACCAGTAACAACCAAATCATTTTGTCCCAGTGTAGACAGCTCCCAACTGGTCACACTTACAGCATGTCGTATGTAAGTGTGCTTTAAGAGAGGAGGAAATGTCTCCTCCCTGTTCCCCCTCTCCAGCGAGTGGTCAGACCTTGTTACTACTAATTTCTGTATTTGCTCTAAATTGACCTTGAGAAGTTTGCAATTGCTTTCTGAATTGTATATAACCTAATGAAACATAACCAACATGTACTGCAAACGGTATTGTCAGATCTAATTATCTTAGCTTGAAACTTGGAATATTCATTTTTTTGAAGGTCCCAGTCCTAGAGTCACTTGATTATCTGAAAATCTGATTACTTTTAAAAGAGGAAGTTTCTGGTTGCACTGAGAATTCAGAAAACGTAAACAGAGGAAAAGAACCCAGCACCTAGTATGAAAAATATAAACAATTATTTTTTCATTTCACACCAATATTCTAGAGGCCCTGACTTACGTTTTGCAATGTTCGATGTTACTGATGTTGTCTGTATGATACAAAACCCAGCATACTAGGCTTATATACTAGAAGAAATTGCCAAGAAACAAATTTTCTTTAAAAATGGAGTAATTTTACCTTATAGAGGAAAAAAAATAAATAATTTTTTTGGTCTTACCATGAAGAGAAAGAAAATCAAACAAGAAATTGGCTTCATCAGAGTTACCATTGCCAGATGGAAATGCATTAATCATGAAAATTCACATTGGCTTGTATCTAGCCAGGTCAGTATGTGCTTGCAAAAGGTATATCCACAGTAGTCAAGGTATTAAATCCATTACAAAAGCATTAGAACACAAAGCTCCAACCCTGCCCATGACCTGCAG